ATTTTACTGAGTTTGCTGTATTTTATAAATATACACACATACAACCAACTCCCATCGTTTGTGTAAATAGCATCCAGTCACAAAAGGATTCATTCTGTAAAGTGAGTAATTCAGATATTGCAATATGGAGCTCTAACCTACATTGACCCAATATCCCTCTCTCAACAGGGCTGTATGAAATTAGTACAGGGGCTAATCAAGGACAAATATTGTATGAGACAAAAAATATAGGGTGGTGGGGAAGCAAGATAAGGCTTTCATATCCAAGGGAAAATTGACTTTAGAGACTGCAGGGGGTGGGTGGCAAAAGAGGAAAGATAAATGCGATAAATTATTGATGGATGTTAACCTCAGTGAATGGAATATAGTAGTCCATAGGGGGAGAAGAGAAATAAAGCTAGTGAAGGGTAAACTATTGTGGGAGGTTGATTAGTAATTTAAACTGTTATAAAATTGATGAACTGAAATGTAAATCTCCACCTAATTTACAATAAAAATTGTTGAAAATCAAAACAAGAAGACTTCAAAAAGTTCATGAACAATAGAATTAAAAGATAATGGCATATTTCACAAACTTTTGAAACCACAAGTTCAGAACTTTTGAACATGTTCATTAATCTAATTTTTTAATGTATTTCAAAGTAAGGTGTAGGCATCAGTACACTTTAACACAAACACTTCAGCATACATGTTCATGGTGGTGGTAGGTGCCGTTGAGTCTATTGCGACCCATGGCAACCCTATGCACAACAGGACCAGCACTGCCTGGACCTGCACCATCTTCACATTCGATCCTACGCTTGAGCCCATTGTTCCAGCCACTGTGTCAATCCAGCTCATGTCAGGCCTTCCCGTCTTTCACTGCCTCTCTGCCAAGCATGATGTCCTTCTCCAAAATAATAGGACAAAGAGCCAGAGATAAAAAGATTATGAATTCAGCTAACTGAAAGATCAGAACCAAAGTCCAATGACTGCCAATTCCCTAACTTTGGGATAGCATTTCAGCCTTACGTCTAAGGGAGTATGTCGATTCCTTAAATCTGTGCAGGGGAGCTTGAGGTAAGCCCCAGTTCACTTAGTGGGGTTTCTACATTGAATCTTCCCGGTATGGCCTGTGAAGGATGTTGTGCAACTCAAGAGGACAGAGTCAAGTCTGGAGGAGGGAATGGGATCAGAGTTTAAATTTTGAACACCAATTGCAGAAGGTTATGGATGACTGTAGAAACCCCAAATCCAATTGCAGGATCCCCACGTGGGTTAAATCTCTGGAGAATGCCATCAAGGGAAGTGAACAGCCTTGCTGTCAGACAGAGATCATTGTAAAGTCCATTGTGGCAGATCTAGTTAGGGTAAAATGTAATATTATCATTTGATCTCCCTTTTGATCCATTTTAAATTTTTCCAGTTTTTAATATTCTCTGCCTTCTTTTTGATAAGAGGTTTATCTGTGTTATTTTTAGTCATTATTATTGGGCTCCTTGTTTGCTTCCTATGTGTGTTTTGTATTATTTTCTGTGTGTGATATCCAGGGTAACTAGATCTATGGAGACACTAATTGGATAAAGGTATGGCTGAAGGGGAAGGGGGAAATGGGGCACTAACAATGAACTACATGGACCACCCCCGCTCACCCCAGAAGAATTTATTTCAGAGGACAGCACTGAATCTACAGATCAGGGAGAGGGACATGTCTGATCAGAGCACATGAGAGCAAATGAAGGGGGAGGAAGAGAGAGTGGAACACATCCTAGCCCACCAAACCTTGAGGACGATATCCCCTCTCAGAGCAGCCAATGCACAGAAAGGACCCTATGGCCAGCCCCACTATGAGGCACGACACCCCTTATTGACCCATAGTGCTACAGGGGACACAGTGTGGGAATTGTGTCCAATATGACCCCACCACACTGGGGCGAAACACTAACAGCGTGCAACAGAACAGCAAGAGGAGCAGAGCAACGAGGTCTCCAGGGAATACAAAAAATAGACTTTGGGGCCAGGGCACGGCACCCCATCAGACTCAACCAGAAAACACTCCTAAAGACTCCAGAAAACAAACCTTGAACTATTTATAGGCTTTTGGGTTTGTTTGTTTGTTTGTTTGTTTGTTTGTTTGTTTTTTTTGTCATTGGTTTTTTTTTGTTGTTTTGTTTTCTCTTGCTGCTTTGTTTTGCTCTGTCTTGTATATATTATTATCTCTGGAGGTTTATATAGATAAGAAGGAGGGATAAATAATCTGGAGGAGAAAACAATGGTAAAGATGGTTGTGGGGGGTCATGGAAAAGGAGGAGGCAGGGGAAAGGAAGTGGGTGTTAATAAACCCAGAGACAAGGGAACAAACAGTAAGTGATCTAAAAGCGATGGCAAGGAGGGTGTAGGAGGTCTGGTTGGGCTTGATCAAGAGCAGTGTAACCGAGAGGAATCACTGAAACCCAAATGAAGGCTGAGCATGATAGTGGGACAAGAGGAAAGTAAAAGGAAATAGGGGAAAGAACTAGGAGGCAAAGAGCATTTATAGAGGTATAAGTATAGGCATGTACATATGTAAATTATTTATATATGACTATGGGGAAATAGATCTATGTACATGTATTTATAGGTTTAGTATTAAGGTAACAGATGGACATTGGGCCTCTACTGAGGTACTCCCTTAACATAAGAACACTTTGTTCTATTAAACTAGTGTTCCATGGTGCTCACCTTCCCGATCTGATTGCTAAAGACAAAGCGTGTGCATAAGCAAAGGTGGTGAAGAAAGCTGATGGTGCCTGGCTATCAAAAGAGATAGCGCCTGGGGTCTTAAAGGCTTGAAGATAAACAAGCAGCCATCTAGCTCAAAAGCAACAAAGCCCACATGGTAGAAGCACACCAGCCTGTGTGATCACGAAGTGTCGATAGTATCAGGCAGGTGTCCTCAAACTTTTTAAACAGGGGGCCAGTTCGCTGTCCCTCAGACCCGTTGGAGGGCCGGACTATAGTTTAAAAAAAAAAAACTATGAGCAAATTCCTATGCACACTGCACATATCTCATTTTGAAGTTTAAAGGGGGGAGGGGGCAAAAACACCCAGTGGGCCAGATAAATGTTCTCGGTGGACCGCATGTGGCCTGTATGCTGTAGTTTGAGGACCTCTGGTATGAGGTATCAGGCATCAAATACCCAGAACAAAAAAATCATATCATCGTGAATGATGGGGGAGTGCGGAGTCAAGACTCAAAGCCCATCTGTAGGCAACGACATCCCCTTACAGAAGGGACGCGGGGAGGAGACAAGCCAAGACGGTGCAGTATAACACCAATGAAACATACAACTTTCCTCTAGTTCTTTAATGCTTCCCTCCCAGCCCCCACTATCATGACCCCAATTCTACCTTACAAATCTGGCTAGACCAGAGCATGTACATGGTTACAGACAAGAGCTGGAAACACAGGGAATCCAGGACAGATAAACCCCTCAGGACCAATATTGAAAGTAGCCATACCAGGAAGGGAAGGAGAAGGTGGGGGGAGATAAGGAGAACCTATTACAAGGATCTACATATAACCCCGTCCCAGGGAGATGGACAATAGAAAAGTTGGTGAAGGGACATATTGGTCAGTGTAAGACATACAAAAATAATAATGATCTATAAATTATCAAGGGTTCATGAGGGAAGAAGGGTGGGGGAGGGGAGGGGTAAAATGAACTGAAACCAAGGGCTCAGGTGGAAAGAAAATGTTTTGAAAAAATATGGTGGCAATAAATGTAAAATGTGCGTGACACAATATGTGTATATATTGTGATAAGATATTGTGTATAAGCCCCCAGTAAAATGATTTATTTTTTTAAAAAAAACAAAAGAAATAAGAAACTTTTAATTTTAAAAGAGCAAAATGTTCTGAAATTGTGGTGATGATTGCACAAATCTTAATATGACTGAATGATTACATCCTATCATACGTGATGAATATGCTAATAAAACTATTTTCTAAAATAAATAAATTTTTAAAAATAGATTTTGGCT